AAGTACGACTGAGATAGAACACGTCGTTCGCAAGCAGGTTAGGGCTTGAATTATGAATAATAACCTCGACCTTGAGAAAAGATTGGAATGACTACAAAATTTGCTGGAAGGGCTTGTGGCCATTCAAAAAAGTTTTGAAATTTAAAAAATTGTCTGCAGTTCTATTGCTTGATTAGCATGGGCATCCAGTTTCCTGGATGCCCAGCTAAGAGTAGGCCATGCCAGAAGCGCCACCGTCTGGCTGATTGAGTCGTTAAGTGCTCCCTGGTCCACATAAGGTCAGCGATTGCCTGCGGTGAAAGCTTGGCAGGGCCCTGGCAAGACATTGCTGAAGTTTGGGGAGATTTCCTTTACTTATTGCCTGTACAGCATGTAAGAGAAAAAGAAGCCCTGCACACTGGACCACATCTACGGCGTCTGATGTAATCAAGACCAGTGTCAGTTTGCACAGGACGCCATGGGTTTCGGACCAAAAGGACACGTCGACGGCCATGGAGATTGTTTCACGTTCTCCACCTACAACGCCAGGACAGTCTCCACCAACGCCGATCTTCACGCCCTCCTCAAAGGTGTAGGGCGCATCAACTCCACGTAATCGCCTTGAAGGAAACAAACTCCAGGAAGACGGACGTGAGGCAGCTGAGTGATGGCACACTCTTCATTTTAGCGACGCAGCTTCACAATAGGTGGCCGCTATACATTTTCTGAAAGGCTAAGAACGTGAGCGCTAACTTAGATCGTCTTAAACTGTTTCACGTTCTGTAGCTGTTGAGAGAATTCTCTGTAGTTAAAAAGAGGCCTCTGGGAGAGTAGATTGCAATTACTTCCAACTTTCCAGGCTCTGAAGAAGGCGGAGACGTCGAAACGTCAGCCGAAATAAAAGTTAATTGACAATCTTGGTTACGGCTCAGATATCAGCTGAGAGAAGACACTCATCATTCGTGATGAAAAGATTCCGTCACGAAATGAGGCGTTGGATTTGTCGTTCACCCATCTGTTGTCCATCTTGTCGATTCGCATGAGATCCTTTCATCTCTCCTAATCCTTTGACTTCGTCCTCTGCATCAGAAAGCCATCACTATCATCAACTGTTATTCTCCAACATCAGCAGCTGATGATTTGGAACTTGATGCTTTTTTAGAGGATTTGGGAGAAGTCATCCTCAAAGAAAACTTCTATAAGTTCGTCGTGAGTGACTTCTATGCGAAAATCGAAATGCCAGAAGAAGGGGAGCACAGGATCGGGAGATTTGGATCAGTACTCCGGAGTGAAAATGCTAACCGTCTTGTTAGGCTCTTATCCGCTGCACTTTTTCATGGCAACTCCATTTTACTAAAGGTGGTGCTTACTGGACGTCTCAGTGGTACCATCCTTCAGTAATGGCTCAGATCACCTCCTTTAAGCAAAAGTGCGG